CAGTAGCTGTGGGTAACCCTGGTTGCCCGGGTGAGATGAGACTGTTGTAATATCTCGTTTAGTTCTCAGTATGTCGAGCAGGTGGGATAATGTGCCAGTGAAGCGTTTGTTGGCTTTGAGCATGGGCAATAAGCCGCTTGATCAGTATATGCTTCAGGGCGTCACAAAGTGCAGCAAGCACTTTAGATAGTTCTCTTTAGTCATGGCGAATATCGATTATGGATAGCGTCTGAGATAATTCAGTCCATCTGTCCGCAAGCCGAGCGAGCCCAGAGATAAGCAGCAATGACCATGCATGGTCTCTTTCGAACTGGTTTGACTGAGTCCAGAGAAGGGCAGCTTCCTTAGAACTGTGTAATTCCTTTCTTGTTTGCAATCTATGGCCGCTGACACTGCTCGGAGCCACGCATCAGTTGAATTCGATCATTATCTCCAATATGAAGTGTTCAAAGCTTTTCTGGAGTGACCGCATGTTCATAGAACCATAAAGTTTGAAGTTGTTACCGGATTCAGCTCATATCTTGGTCTTCTTGAGTACATAGCTGGACAGAACCGAAGGTTCCGGATGGAAAGCGATCTTGCGATGCTCGTCCACCAGACCTAGTGAAGAATATCCGATACTGCTCTGCTCATCTCTTTATAAATGCCATTTGATAGTGCTATGCTTTAGAGGTGCGAGTAACGCTATCCTCATATAAGTAATCTGTATCCAGTGTTACCGGTTAGTGAAAGCTCTGTAGACGGGTGACTCTCGAATATAATCCCAGCAGCGGGATCGATGGATCAAAAAATGAGATCTGGAGGATGTCTCCTCAACATACCGTTCAACGTCATGAATACTACCATGTTACTTTCTCTCTGTACGTCAGAAGGAGGAGTAAAATCGTCGAGAGTTGTAGGCAAATATGGCCAACTCTGCTTCGATTATGGGTTCTATGAACCGAATAGAGTGAGACTTGTCGAAGAAGACTCTCTCTCATCATCATCTTCAGTTGCTTTTGGAGGACATCATAGACAGCCCCCAAGTGCCTTCTTTCACCTTCCACAGATCTTTCTGCTTGAGATGCTCTGTTGCCAATGTCTCGGAGCACGAGAGTTTGCACCAGATAATCTGTGGACTTGACCATCATATAAATGTGATAGACCAGGTGATCAGTCGTAAATGAAAGATATTAGTGTCATGGAAGATTATTATATATAAGTATAACGTGATAATTAGGAGATGGGGAGAAGAAGGAGAGGAGAGAGTTTAGTGGGAGGAGAAGGAGGTTTATATAGCCCAGCAGGAAGCCAACAAGTGAATGCTGATATCTCCAGATTCCCAAGATTCAACGTAAAAGGTGAACGAAAGAAGTGAACGATGAGCAATATTTGATTTAGCAGGCCCTTTTGAGGCACTCCGTTGAATTTCAAGCTGTTCTCGTGCACCGAGATGCGTGCACTGAGATGCAATTCAACGATGCAGCTTGACCAAGCTGCACTTGCCCTAACTTTGGAGGTAGTGAGCGGCATATTAGAATCATAGCATGGGATAACAGGACCGAATGATTCTACTTTAGGAGACGAGCGGGTTATACATGATGACGACCGTCATAGTGAGTTAGGGTTGTAGAAATTTTGATAACTGGACGGTGCCGGGTGACTATTTGTGAACCTGAAACGCCTGGTAAAGGCACATAATGATGATAGACTGCTAACTACCCTTGAACATTGTGATTTGCTTCGTGCTTGATAAAGTCTTGGCGTTAATGTGATTCCCGCTTCTGATCCCAGGGGGTCAGGCATAGTAGTAAAAGGAATTTGGGAGTAGTCGAAATAGACAGAGGTCCTACAGAAAGACTTACTGATCCAGTGGGTGACCAAGTAAAAGACTTCATATTCTTCGATACATCGCTTGTTGTATTTGAAGATATCGATCAATGGCATAACATCCGCTGAGTGAAGGGGTCTTAGGCCTCTTGAAGGCTGCATTACACGCATAAGATGGTCTAAAAGGCAGGTACCGAGGCAGGTCCGTTCGGATACAGTCTTTTGAGGCATCGATTATACTTAACGAGCTACCTTGGCAGCATCCTTTGATCTCTGAGCTATCACAAGCTTATAGAGCATCGAAAAATTTGGTGGAATAGGAGCAAGAATGTCCAGAGATTTCGAGTCGAAATTCTGGGATAACACTAGAAATGAAGCTCCGGACCTGGTAGTACTCGTTGTGATCTTATGAAATCGCTTGGTGAAACGACGCCTAAGTAGCGGCACCTTGGGGGAGGCTATAATTGTGCAGACTTCGAGCAACTATAGTATAGAAAAGGTGTCACATAATGTTGCCAGCATGGACGGAGCATTATCAACAGACCGTTATAGCTTCTTGTAGATTCATGCTGTACTCTAAGCGAGGTCAGTAACATCCTCTATGGGGACTACCTACCCCAAAGGATAGCTTCAAGGGTCTCGATTAGTAATAATCTACAAGTGTTGATATTCAACAGCAATACCAGACTCCGGTAAATATTTCCAAGATAAGGACAAACATAAGCGAATGACGAGAGCGATGAGGTGATTCGTGATGGTGGTGGTGGAAGTAGGAGGTTTTGAGTAACGCGAGAAATAATACACACGGCAAGTGGGGTTGATTGATACAGATCGATACCTCTTTACCTTACCTTAGCTACCTGCACCTCCCGCTGCAGTTCGTTGCAACCCACGGGAAAGGTCCAGGGTCTGACAGCAAGGTAAAGTAGCATTCTGGAGGTGCTTCTGTCCTCTCTTTTCCGTCCATGAGAATGACTGGGCCTCGGAGAAGCTTTCTCCTTTCCCCTCAGTAACCCCAGTGATACACCAATCATACGTGTAGAAACAGTCTGGACCCAACTTGCTAATGAATCGCGGAAGGAAAAGCTACTGCGGTGCCCCCAAAGCTGGTTCGGGAAGGTGGAATACAGCACCAAAACGTCATTCCGAAGAACCCCGCCTGGTGGGGGTTTTTTGGTGAGCTGCCGATGGAGGGAAAGGCCGACATTGGAAGCCCATCGAATCCACTGGGGAGCAACGAGCGAGGGAGGGACTCTGACTGACTGATTCGGAGTCTGCTGCTGCTGTTCTGTTGGGTCGCTCATTATTTACCCCTCGTTTTCTTCTTCTCTCTCTTTTCCTTCCCATCATCCTCTTCCAAATCTTGAATTTACCCCTAGATCCAAGGTAATCCGATCTTCAAAAACCGTCAAAATGGTCAAGGCTGGTAGGTACCTGCACTTTTCTTCAGCCCTTTTGGTTTTCCTATCCTGCTATTGGCCTTAACCCCCTCCACGGATCCACGATCGACCGTGGCCGGGGGACCTTGAGTGAGCAGATTTGAGCACCTTGCGATCCCTCCTGCACCTATCACGGTCTGGGGACCCTGTTTGCCAGCCGGGCAAGCTCAGGGGGATTCGGTGACATCTGCCAGCTCATTCGTCCCCCGTCAGCTGGAGCTTTGTTTTATCTTTCGTATTAATAGTACCACGATTCAAGTCTGGTTGATGGCCGGTGATCGTTGGATCTCGTGGTTCTGGAAGGTTTCCATCAATGCAAATCATGGGCTGACATCCATCTCTTAGTCGCTGTTATCCGTGGAGACTCTAAGGTCTCCGGCACTGTCACTTTCGAGCAGGCCAACGAGAACACCCCCACCACCATCTCCTGGAACATCACTGGCCACGACGCCAACGCTGAGCGTGGCTTCCACGTCCACCAGTTCGGTGACAACACCAACGGCTGCACCTCCGCTGGCCCTCACTTCAACCCCTTCGGCAAGACCCACGGTGCTCCCGAGGACGACGAGCGTCACGTCGGTGACCTTGGCAACTTCAAGACCGATGCCGAGGGTAACGCCGTTGGCTCCAAGCAGGACAAGCTGGTGAAGCTCATCGGTGCTGAGAGCGTCCTGGGCGTACGTTTTATCCCTCCCCTTCTTGCTCATAGTCTTTGTAAAGATGCTAATGCAATGGATACAGCGGACCCTGGTCGTCCACGCTGGTACTGATGACCTTGGCCGTGGTGGCAACGAGGAGTCCAAGAAGACCGGTAACGCTGGTCCTCGTCCCGCTTGCGGTAAGCTTATCCCTACCACGATACCTCATCTACTTTACTTGAACATTGTTTGCTGATTTCGTTCTGTCACAGGTGTCATCGGCATTGCTGCTTAAATGCCTTAATCAGTCTCCAAAGCTGTTTGTCTAGGATGTGAAGGGCTAGATCAGAATGAGTAGTCTGCCATTATCCCGTCGAGGACAGGAAAAAATGAACACACGAATGACTTGATGCCAACTGTTATGATTACCGGCATTTCTGCCAGACTGTATCGAAGCGCTGATTAGCTCTGCTGTGGGTAGCACAGAATGTAACCCTTCTACTGGAAGAATTAGCTTTCCTTCTTTGGCATCCAAGTAGTACAGGTTAAGATGCACAATGTCTCATCATCGTCTCCTTTTTAGATTGTACTCGTTGCGGCCTAAGGTGATTTCTAGCGCTTACAGCTACATACACGTTGTCATGGAATACCTGGGCCAGAGATGAGAGAAGAAGACATGCCCAAGTTTGATCAATCAGCTCAGCGCTCGTCGCCAGAAACATTGAGTAGACAAGTATTTATGCTGCAGCTCAACTATGCTACTTGGTGAAGCATCTTTGGTGAAGTGGTTAGTGAAGTGGTGCTTTCCACCCACTGCAGTGATGGAGCTCCAAGAAGCTTGTAGTTCAAGGAATATGATCGGGAAAGAGCCACTGAGTACATGGAAGATTCACTCTTCATGTTCACTGGAACCTAGCAAGCTAATTCCGTGATCGAATCGCAAGCAACGGTGCGGAAAGTGGCAGGAGAGAAGCTCTGTCGAGGCCAGAGTCGAACTCCCCCACAAAAGTCAGGTGCCCGCCCGCGCGCGATTGGCCGCTCGGACTGCTGTACCTGGCCTCAATGGAAGTAGTCCGACTGTCTTCTTCTCCCTTTCCCCTATCATTCATTCGGTCTTTTTTCTTGTCCCCCTTCTCATAATACATTGCTTACATCCCTTTCTCCTTAATTGTTTCTGTCTTCTAACCCCCCGTCTCGTCAATTACCGGTCTCGCCTGTCGCTCTCCAGCATGCCTCTGGAAGCCCGCGTGAAATCTGTCCTGTCCGGCGACACGGTGGTGCTGTCGCATATCACCAACCCCGGCCAGGAACGCATTCTCAGTCTTGCATATGTCTCCGCGCCGAGGCTACGCAGAGAGGGAGATGAGGTGAGATGGTCCTTTCTTGTGCTTTCAGATGCAATGTCATTGCGCGGTACAACCGTTTCTTTTCTGCTTGGATAGGTGGCCTCTACATTGGGGACAATTGGCTGCATTCCATCCGAATCTCACATTCTTGACTGAATTGGACTCGATTCCATGTTTCGTTTTGACTAGCACCGCTTAATTGCTTTATCAATACCTTGCTAACTTTAGCCGTTTTCTTTCCGCAGCCATACGGCTTCCATTCCCGAGAGTTTCTCCGCGAGCTACTAGTCGGAAAAGTCGTGCAATTTCAAGTCCTGTACACCATCCCTACCGGTGCTAAGCGCGACTACGGTACCATCAAACTCCCGACTTTCGACGTCTCCCTCCCCGACATCAGCGTCCAGGAAGGATGGACTCGTGTCCGCGAAGAGGCTGGCAAGCGCAGCGACGAGTCCGAAGAGACTGTGGCGTACCTGCAACGACTCCGTGCATTGGAGGAACATGCCCAGACGGAGGGCAAGGGAACATGGGCTGGCACAGAGAACGGTCGCACAGAGACCGCTTACGAGTTGTCTGACCCTAAGGCGCTGGTTGACGAATGGAAGGACAAGCACCTGGAAGGTATCGTCGAGAGGGTTCTGAATGGCGACCGACTGATCGTCCGTTTGCTCCTCTCTTCGGAGGAACACCTGCAGGTTGTCGCCGCTATGGCGGGTGTTCGTGCGCCAGCAGCCAAGAGAGTGACGGCTGACGGCAAGGAGCAGCCTGCAGAGCCGTATGGAGACGAGGCATTCCAGTTCGTCGAGTCGAGGATTCTGCAGCGCAAGGTCCAGGTGTCTCTTCTGGGCGTCACCCCTCAGGGTCAACTGATTGCTAGTGTCCTTCACCCGAACGGCAATGTTGCCAAGTTCCTGCTGGAAGCTGGTCTTGCCCGTTGCCACGATCATCACTCTGCCCTGCTCGGTACTGAGATGGCAGCTTTCCGCCGTGCAGAGAAAGTGGCCAAGGACGCCAGAGTGGGCATCTTCACTGGTCTGGTTGCTCCTAAGGGTCCTGCTGGCGGGGCCGAGGACTACGTTGTTGGCCGCGTGCTGAATGCAGACACGCTCTTTATCCGCAACAAGGCCGGTCAGGAGAAGAAGATCAGTCTCAGCAGTGTCAGGCAACCGAAGCCATCTGATCCCAAGCAGGCTCCTTTTGCTGCCGATGCCAAGGAGTTCGTGCGCAAGAGGATCATTGGAAAGCATGTCAAGGTCACCATTAACGGCAAGAAGCCCGCTACGGAGGGATTCGAGGAGAGGGAGGTTGCCACCGTTGTTCACGGAAACACCAACATCGCTTTGGCCCTTGTCCAGGCGGGTTACGCTTCCGTTATCCGCCACCGCCAGGATGACGAGGACCGGTCTCCCGAATATGACAACCTCATGCTTGCTGAAGCAGAGGCCCAGGCCGAAGGCAAGGGCATGTGGGCTGCTAAGCCCCCCAAGCCCAAGCAGTACCAGGATTACTCGGAAAGTGTTCAGAAGGCCAAGATGGAAGTTTCCATTCTCCAGCGCCAGAAGCGTGTGCCGGCTATTGTCGACTTTGTCAAGTCAGGATCTCGGTTCACCGTTCTGGTTCCTCGTGAGAACGCCAAGTTGACTCTCGTCTTGTCGGGTATCCGCGCTCCCCGGTCTGCCCGTAACCCCGGTGAGGCGTCCGAGCCTTGTGGCCAGGAGGCTCATGATCTGGCGAACAAGCGCTGCATGCAGCGTGATGTTGAGATCGATGTAGAGACCATTGACAAGGTCGGTGGATTTATTGGTACTCTGTATGTGAACAAGGAGAACTTCACCAAGGTACTCCTTGAGGAGGGTCTTGCTACTGTTCACGCTTACTCTGCCGAGCAGTCTGGTCACGCTACAGAGTACTTTGCTGCAGAGCAGAGGGCCAAGGAGGCTCGCAAGGGTCTTTGGCACGACTGGGACCCTAGCAAGGACGTCGTTGAAGACGAGGAGGAGCCTGCTAACAGCAACAACAATACTGACACCGAGGTTGCCCAGCGTCGCAAGGACTACCGCGACGTGATTGTCACTTATGTCGACCCTACTACTGGCCGCGTTAAGGTCCAACAGATTGGCACAGGTACCTCTGCCTTGACGGAGCTGATGAGTGCTTTCCGTTCGTTCCACCTCAACAAGGCCAACGACACTCCGCTGCCTGGACCTCCCAAGGCTGGTGACTTTGTTGCCGCCAAGTTCACCGAGGACAACGAGTGGTACCGCGCTAAGGTCCGTCGCAATGATCGCGAGAACCAGCAAGCTGAGGTTGTTTACATTGACTTCGGTAACTCGGAAGTCCTGCCCTGGTCCCGCCTCCGGCCCTTGAGCCAGCCGCAGTTCTCCGTCCAGAAGCTTCGCGCCCAGGCGGCTGATGCAGTGCTCTCCTTTGTCCAATTCCCTGGTGCCGAAGATTACCTGCAGGATGCAGTCAGCTTCCTAGAAGACCAAGTCTACAACCGTGAGCTTGTTGCCAACGTCGACTACGTGTCTCCGGACGGAACCCTGCACGTCACCTTGCTGGACCCTACCGAGTCCAAGAACTTGGATCACAGTATCAATGCCGACATTGTTCGTGAGGGTTTGGCCATGGTGCCCAGGAAACTGAAGGCCTGGGAGCGGGCCGCTACTGAGACACTGTCGCACCTTCGCAACGTAGAGGAGGAGGCGAAGCAGGAACGACGGGGTATGTGGGAGTATGGCGATCTGACCGAGGACTAAATATTACACTTATCATAGTGTTGTGTTTGGGGTGGCGGAAGAAGATGTCTGTACAATTATCCACATGGCGCTTTATGCTGATTCCCATGAGCGACGGATTGAGTGGCTCTGGAGCATTCTTACATTGACAGCTTCCAAAAGCTGTGCTACATTAGTCTAGGATTTCTCAAATATGTTTTTTGAATAAGGATACCAAAAGTTGGATCTTTGGCAACCTTCCTGTTTTTTGTGCCCTGCATAAATATGTGCATAGATGACATAAGCGGATGTTATCTCCGCGACTGTCCGATGCGGCGAATTGTCTTTTTCCGACTTCGCAGCGTCAGCCCAATTTTCTTGTCCTTTATGCCATATCCCCGCCATTCCCCTCGTGTTTGCGGCTTTCGCTCGTTGTTGGACCATTTGTGACTAGAATTCGACGTAGCCGGCGCCTTCTCGACTTGAAACAAGGCCTCGTGACGGGCTCGAAACAGATAAGACTATAACCAACCGACTTCCGCCGACGCCGAGCTCAGCTCGTCCAGGGACCCGCTTGAACTTCAGTACTTTTCCTGCAATCGCCCACTTTCAAGCATACCCAATCTCGTTAATTTAGCACAATGCCTTTCTGGGGAACGAAGTCCTCTCAACCTGCGTCGGAGAGCGACGCTAACTCTGCGCATGACGCAATCGAACACAAGAACGACCCCGTTGCGTCGGCCTCGCAGGCGGCTGGCACGGCGTGGCTCGCTGGCCATCTTCACCATCTGACTGACGACCAGGAGAAGAAGCTGGAAGAATTCAAGAAACTGTGTGAAGAGAAGGGATACTACAAGCCGGAACGGGATGGAGAGAAGGCGAGCCATGATGATGCGACGATGCTGTATGTTCCTTTCGCGCTTTGTCTACATAGAGCCCGTCACACTCGATGAACACGCATTGGAGAGGAGCTAACGTGTATTACGCCTAGGCGCTTCCTTCGCGCGCGCAAGTTCGACGTTGATGGCGCTTGGGGCCAGTTCAAAGACACCGAGGACTGGCGCCGGGATAATGCCATTGAATCGCTTTACGAGAACATTGATGTGGAATCCTACGATGCTGCCAGGAGAATGGTTCGTGAACTGATTTATACGTGTATGGCGATAGTCGTTAACATGCTCTTGTCTAGTATCCGCAATGGACCGGTCGTCGAGACCGCCGCGGTATTCCCGTCTATGTTTTCGAGATCAAGCATCTGAACAGCAAGAACATGGCCGCATACAACGAGACCATGTCCTCTTCTACCTCTACGGCCGAGACGCACCAATCCTCCACGGTCCCGCAGCGTCTCCTGCGTCTGTTCGCTCTTTATGAGAACCTCCTCAACTTTGTTATGCCTCTGTGCTCGAAGCTTCCTCGTCCTAACCCGGAAACCCCTATTGTCACATCTACCAACATCGTCGACGTTAGTGGCGTTGGACTTAAGCAATTCTGGAATTTGAAGGGTCATATGCAGGATGCTAGTGTTTTGGCCACTGCTCATTACCCGGAGACCTTGGATCGGATCTTCGTGAGTCTATCACCCCTCTTTACTCAGGGATAAATCCCGCTAACCAGCTATCCCTCGAAGATCATCGGCGCACCCTCTTTCTTCCCTACCGTCTGGGGTTGGATTAAGCGCTGGTTCGACCCCGGCACCACCTCGAAGATCTTCATCCTCTCCGCCGCCGAAGTAAAGCCCACCCTGACATCCTTCATGGACCCGTCCAGCATCCCCAAGCAGTATGGCGGCGAGTTGGAATGGCAGTGGGGTGACATGCCTTATCTCGACGAGGAGGCCCGTAAGGTCGTCGGGGTACTGGAATCTCCTCCCGCTGAGGGAGAGACCAAGCCCAACTTCATCAAGGGTCCAGTCCTATTTAAGGGCGACCACGTCGAAATCCTCGGAAAGGTGAACGGCGAGAGCCGCAAGTCTAACGTCCCTGTTGGCGCAACTCCAGCTCAATCAAACAACAACACCTCCCCCGTGCAGGTTGAAAAGCCCACTGAGCAGGAGAGCTCGGAAGGCAGCGAGAATGAGAAAGTTCCTCTGCAAGAGCCGGCTCCCGCATCGGAGACTGAGACGCAAACAGTGACTGCTTAAGTCATTTGTTTAATTACTCTTCCGAGCCCACTTTTCACTGATTTTTTTTTTCTTCCCTTTCTTCGTCGAAGGTACTACTAATAGAACCCAAGCCACGGCGCCAGCGGTTATCCGATTTATCTATCATTACCCTTTTCCTACTGCAACCTACCTACCGTTCTAGATAATATACCACTTTTCTACACTTTCCCCCTCACATCTTTCATTGTCCTATCCGGGCTTGAACAAATATCATCGTTGTCTTATATACTGCATTTCTCATATTGTCATTTTTCAGGATCTGTCATAGGTGTAACTTGGGTGTGTGTGCAGCAGCCATCATCGTCATAGAAAGATGCATGTTTTTCGGGCTTTATTTATATACTTATGGTCATTCTCATACTTTATTCAAGCTCCTACCAGTTGGCTTCCTCACTGTACTGATCGGTTTGTTGATAACCATAAGAGATCCAGTTGCATTAGTATTCTTGGATGAATTTGGGATTGGTTTTCGCTTTATAAAATCCCCGCTGAGAAAGTTCGATCTACCTTTTTCAGGTCAAATTTTTAGTGTGAAAGAGGCGGATAGACGAATATCTGCAATTATGAAGTGCCATATAATCTATTCTGGCTCAGAAAGATCTAGGACTACAAGTATACAATGGATTCGAGTTTTATTAGAGACCTCACTTCTCCTGGACATATAAACAAGAAATGGGATATTAACATGGTTGCTGGTAATCACTAATGAGAAAACAGATACTATAACTGTATACATCTGTTATATTACGTCTTTACATCGTATCGTATATCTAAAAGTAAATAGTAGTAGTAGGTAAAGGCAGGTAGGTCAGCAGTTTCGTCAACTACCACCCCAGTCCCACCCTATCCCATCCCAACGTTTCGCTATAATACATCAATCACAACGCAACTAAACTAACTCAGACTGGTGTTCATCTAGATTTCCAGATCATGTTGATCTGCTTTCTCTTGACCTGTTAAAGGGAATCTCGGTTAGTTATCTGTCTACTAGATATGGCACAACTGTAGTAGAAAGGGTAAGGTGGAGGTAAACGTACCATCGGAGCCAAAACAATCACACCGGCCGTCAGCGCCACAATAGTCAAGACTAATTGCAGCTTGGAGAATCCCTTGCCCAGGACATCGAATGCCTGGCTAGGAGTTGCTCGTGTAGCGAAGATGTCTCCGCCGAAGGCGAAGATCAAGCTAGTACTTTCGAGCAGCGTCGGGGCGGAGAGTACGCTCTTGATACCGGAAACTTCCCGGGAATGCGTGTGGTACCATTTGCCATCAAATTCGAGGAAGGGGTTGTACTTGAAGAGACCCTCTTCGGCTTCGGTGGAGGTCGGGTCCCGGCCGATGGGACGGCGGGGGTCGAGGACGGGACGGGGGATGCCAATGATGGCATTGGAGGAGGGAAGAGTGCAGAGGAGTTGGCGAACGGTGATGCCCTGGCGGGTCTGAGTGACGGCCATGTGAGAGATGGGTTCCGGGATGATGAAGGCTTGCGAGATCACGTGGGGCAGAGGGAGGTCACTGATGCTGGAGTAGTTCGATGCTGAGTCCAGAGGGCCGCGATCATTGGGAACGGGGGACTCGTAGAGCTCGGAGATCACCAGCTGGTAGCCCTTGGCGCTGGAGGAGTCGACAGCGTCTGCCCAGAAGGAGTAGGCGAACCAGTTCTCGGAGATAACAGAGGCAATGGGCTGCGTGGGGTCGACTCCTTGGTGGGTGCTGGAGTGAAGAATCTTTCCGGAGATGGCGTCCAGAAGGTAGAAGGTGGCAGAGCTCTCGCCCACGGCAGTGATGAGGGCGAGGTTGGGGTTCAGGTACTTGTAGAGTACTGACCGGTTGCCCAGGACTTTACCGATAGAAGCAACAGGATCGTGGGAGGGCCGCGCGGTGGCGTGGATGATCTTCTCGCCCGGGGTAGGCAGGAACTGCCAGACAGGGTGCTTGTTATCGCGAGCGGCCCATCCGAGGACACGGCCATCATCGCTAAGCGTTACAAAGAAACCCGGGCCATCAATAGGCTCCAGGGGTGTGCCATTGTCCTTGATGCCGACAGTAAGGGGAGCGTTGCCGTCGCCCACGACGGCAACCGAGCGGATCTTTGCAGCGCCGGGGGTGCGCGCCAGAATCTCGCCAGACGTGGCATCCAGAGTGACAGAGCTGCCATCATCGACATACACCGTAGCAGTGCCAGGATGAGCCAGAATAGCCTTCACATTCCACGAGTCCGCTTCCGCAGCCTTGACCTTCCAGGACACGGCGCCGTGCTTGGCGGCATCAAGGGCGTAGACTCTTCCGTTCTCTGTGGCCACAATAACAGACCTGACAATACCGAAACTATCGAGGTTGGAAACCTCATCGGTCAGGATACTCGTCAAAATACGCTTGGGCAGCCCCTTCAGCCACTCGGGAAGATGCTGAAGGTCTCTGACGTGACGCTTGACGCGGTGAACGTAGGCCCCGTAGAGGCTTTCGTGACCCTCAACTTCTAATTGATGGGCCAGATCCTCCTGGACGGCCTCCTCGACCCAAGTAGCGGCCAGGGCACCCGACAGAGCTTCATATCTGGTCCATTCCGTCTGGCCATTGCGAATCAATTGCCAATCACCAGATTCCAAAGCAGCGGCCGTCCGGACGGCAACGCTCTTATCCTTGGCAACGACCTCCGACACAGAGTGCAAGGCTTGCTCCATAGGGGGTGCCTGGTGGACCCATCTTCCCAATACCCCATGGGAGGCCGAAGAGACGACGGTCGTCTCCGACTGAGTGATACGGGTGAAGTAGACGTTGGCATCCTTGTTGCTCGTAGAGAAAACGGACCATCCCTGCAAGCGAGGAAGTTCGTAGGCCTTGGATACCGAAGCAGACTTGAGATCGACGTGATAGACTTCCGCCCAAGTGGTGGACTCCGTCTCGTAATGCACCAAGAAATGCGGCAGCGATTCGAGCTTTTTGGGGGCATGGACCGTGATAGAGCTAACACTCTCACCACTTGTATTTTCAATATCGAACGAGTGTACCTGCTTCGTACCGATGACGTTGACCTTGAGTGTCTTGAATGACTGATCAGCCCAGACAATCATGGGTGCGGCAGTGTTCGCGCCCACGAAGAGAACCGAGTTGGTGCTAGACAAGTCACTTTCCGAGCTCAGAATCTGCTGTCGGGTTTGGCGGCCGGTCAAGGGATCCAAGGAAGTGACCTTGATTCTGTATCCTTTCCGCGAGGACGGCTGCAGAGCGACGTAGAAGACCTCGGTGGCCGATGACGACAATTGGAGGGGAATATCACCGCTAACCGGGAAGTGTCAGCGATGGAAGCTCCAACAGACATTAGTTACATGTATAATCGTACCTTTCATCCAAGTGCTCCCACTTTGTCCGACCAGAATCTCCATCCAGCCTTCGGACAACGCCAGCCTTTCCGCTCCAAAGCGCCACAGTGTCTTTCGTCGACGGAGCCGCACTGGCATCCTCCAGCTCCAAAAGCTCAAGATCAGCGACCACTTCACCCTCAAACCAGTTTTCCCAGATCAATTTGCCATCCAGTGCAGTCCACGAAGAAATGTAATCACCTAGCGCGCTGACCAGGGCGTTTGTGCCTTCGGAGGCGCGGAGTAGACCGTGGGGATTGCTTTCAGCCGCGGGCAGATCAGATCGGGAGAGGTTCTGTCTCCAGACAAGGGAGCCATCCCTGGGGTTCACTGCACCGAGCAGCGACTTCTCTGAGAGGGTGTAGAGCAAGGAGGCATTGGAGGTAGTAGACGGTTTAAGGAAGAAGGTCGATTGGGAGGTGGGAAAGCCGAGCAGCGCGTGATGGTAATCGACGTGGTTGACCTCGTCCCGGTAGATGGCCAGTGACGAGGGAACGCACGAGGCGAGCAAGAGAAGCGTCGCCTGTAGCCACATATTTATGACTGATGTTTCCGGTCTGGCATTGGAGGGCGACAGAGGAGAGAGGTAGCTGGGACGAGATGGTGGCCGACGAACGATAAGCTGCGGACCATCGATGACGGGCGGTGATGTATCATCGGGCAGAATCCCTTTTCCCCCGGTTTGTGTCTCCACTACAGCTTCAGCTTCTCTCTCGATTGCACTTCTCCCAATTCTCCATCATCAAGAACAGCTGTTACAGTATTTACTGATGGGTGCTCTCCCATAGGACTGACATCGGCGTGGGCATAATGTCAAACATTTAGAGTGCGACACATGTTCTCTACCTCATATTAATCATGTTTTACAGGAAGGTCTTTCATACAGCTGCCAAGACGGTGATATAGTCCGAATGATATACATTTTGATGCTATTCTATGTACAGATACAAATACAAGTTTGTGACTCCAAGTGTGCTCATCTTATGCAAGAGACTCATGCTTGCCCGAAGCAGGTCTTGTTGGCAGCTCTGACAACCGCCTTCTCTCCCTCACTCATGTCGTCGGTAATCTCCCATGGCTGACTTCCCATACCCATGGCGCGCAGGCCTTCTGCATCGACAGAGCTCCAGTCAAGTGCTCCCTGGAAACCGATCTCACCGGGTCCACCAGCGCCCGGGAAATCCCAGGGCGGAGAGTAAGCAAGCGCAGCCTGGCGCTGCTTGAGCAGGTAGTCCACGTTCATTTCGCACATAGGCGTGGCAGGGATGTAGAGAACGCTGGAGTCTCCCTTGCCGCGATGTTCCTTGTCAACGGAGTGCAAGGAATCACAGTGCCAGGCAACGTAGTCACCCGGTTCCACCTCGGGGACGGACACCATGGTAGTTTCGAGATCCAGGTGAGGATGTGTTACGGGGTTGTACTCTTGACACGTTCCGGGTACGGCACCGGGGAATGTGTTGTCCAGCACCGGCTGCGAGGACACTGGGTCGAAGAAAGGTCGGAGGATAGTGTAGGCGGTACTCTGGATGAGCATGGGGCACACATGCAGTGAGCCTTCGCCAGGAGCTGTGTTGGACATGGACAGCCATCCTTGGAAGAATCTTAGCATGGAGCAGGAACCGGCGCCATTGTATAAGTCCATATTGGCCGAGACACGGTGCTTGGCATCCCATGGGTCGTACTCTTCCCATTTGCCCTCTAGAATCTTGGTATAGACCCGGGAATACTCAGGATCCTCCCAGCGCTCCAATGATCCACCGTCGATGTGAGGACCAAGAGTGAACTTTGCGTCACCCGGCTGCCTAATCCGGAGTCGGTCTGCGTAGGTCAAGGGGTTCCGGGTCGAGATGGGGGTGTTGGGATCGGACGAGTGCCAGAGACGCTGCAGGAAGCGCTGGGTTCCGAGCATGTTCGGATGTGCTCGGGCCTCTGCTTGAGATGGAGTCCAGTACAGCTCATAGACCGCTGGGGAGTCGGGAGGAAAGGCCTTCACGCGCTCTTGATTGGCAGCAGCATAGTCCTTGATCCTCTCCTTCCAGTCGAGGGCTTTCTCTCGAGGCATCACGTTCCTGATGACCACGGAACCTCTGTGACGGATCTCTGCAAGGAGATGGTCTGGGACGGTTCCATTGACCACGTCGGAATATTGCACCGATGGAATGATCTGGGCATTTTGTTAGTGTCACTCAATGCATATAGAAGATGCCATGGAAATTTACATCGCTTCCTTTGGCCTTGATCTTGTGCACTTCCTCCTCCAAGCTAGGGAGGAGTCGCTCCCAGCTTTGCTTCAGAGCCTTTTCATTCTTTTCAAAGTATTTCAGCTTCAGATCCCTGAACCGCGGGGGCAGTGGCTCTGGCTTGTAGTCTGGTCTCAAACTGGGGAAGACGCTGGAGATATCGCCCGCAGCCTTGGTCATCGACGACGCCGAAGTCGACGTGGACGCGGCGCGGGCGGCCGTTTTTGAAAGAAACTTTGACATAGACATGATATCTATCTTTCCAATAGGTACTTGGAATCTGGAGATCTCTGAACACTAGCAGACAGGACCTCCTGCAATTGATATACCTGCAGCTGGGGCGGAGTATTTGTCGGGAGTACCGAATACAGCAGTCGGGCCGATTACTTGATAAAGTATCTCCCCGCCTTCCCCCGCAAAAGCGGCAAAGAGAAGATGCGGGAATGTTGCTCTTTGCGGGATCCACATCGCTCCGGGGTGAACTATTGCCTTCACTTGACGTTGCCTCACATTCCAGAGGCGAAAAATATAAGAAAGCTTGGTTTGGGTCGCATAGGAGTCTCGGGGCCACAGTTCAGACTAGCCATCGGACTTAACGATAGTCAATTGTTACGAGATCACCCTCCAGAGCAGGCCCGCCGCAACCGCCCTTGCAGTCCTGCGCAGAACGCTGTGGATCAGGTCTCGCTGCGAGTGACTTCAAGCGGACAGATCGGCACTTTCACCGAGGAGAGCACCCCAAGAGGCAGCGGTCAGATTGGCAATGATGACTTGTCCTCGGTCTTGTTCCGGGTTCGTACCACCTCCAGGGCTCTTGTCCTCGGTCTAGTGATACAGCGACACGCCCATGGGGCAGACCCGGGTCCCGTATCGAACCCCTCCGGAACATTTATAAAGTAGCATAGGGCCACTTGGCAGAAGCCAACAAACCTTCACCCATTGCAGGCCCTGAGCATCAATTCCGGTTTAGAATGTCCTTCGCCGTCCAAGGCCGATCTGCTATCGTGACGGGGGCAGGTTCAGGTGCGTCACGCATGGTATTCGGCCGATAAGCACACTTCACTAAGTAGTAATTGTAGGAATTAACCTGTCCTTCGCCAAACTACTCCTCGAACATGGATGTAACGTCCTGTTCGCCGATCTAGCTCTCCGTCCAGAGGCACAGGCGATAGTGGATCAATACTCATCGAAGGCGAAGACGCCACGGGCCGTCTTCCAGCGGACCGACGTGACCGATTGGCAACAGCTCGAGCGCATGTTCGAGGTAGCAGAGCGGGAATTTGGAGAACTCGATGTTGTGTGTCCCGGAGCAGGTATCTTTGAACCGGTATAGTTTCCCTATACACTGATCCCATTGTTGTGAATCACGCAAGGGGGTAGTATACTGCAGGGACGTCCCGTTTGCTCACGCCAGATTTACATCACAGCATTGGACCAACTTCTGGCGTCCTCCAGGAACCCCTGAAAGCCGAGACCCGCGATATGGAGGTCGCTATGCCCTTCTCGATATCAACCTCACGCATCCGATTCGCACCACACAGCTAGCCATTGCCCATTTCCTGCGCCATGGGAATAAGCAGAGACGCAAACACATCGTTCATATCTCTAGCATTGCCGGTCAAAACCCCAATTTCGTCGCCCCGATCTATGTCGCTACGAAACACGGCATCAATGGCTTGGTACGGTCATTGGCTGGCCTGGATCAGGAGTGCGGAATTCGTATCACAGCTGTTGCGCCGGGAGTCATCAAGACACCGTTGTGGACAGACCATCCTGAAAAGCTCAAGGTAGTGAACGAAGGGGCCGATGCATGGGTAACTCCAGACGAGGTAGCAGAGGTCATGTTGGCGCTTATCCAACAGGATAAGGTGAGCGGTATCATTGGGGATCAGAGTGGTCGTGGTCCCCAGTACCCAGTCAGTGGCGGAACTATCTTGGAGGTCTCCAAGACGGTTCGCTCGGTAGAGCCCTTTAATGATGCTGGGCCTGGAGATCGACCAGGCAATACGGTATCTGATAACAGTGCGCTGATCAATGAAACACATGGTCTGCTATCGCAGCGTGGATGGGGAATGCCCAAGTTGTAGTTAGATGGAGATAAGAGAATAAACTAATACTACTTTGGCTTTCAGGATGCCAAATGGTTAAGCGTTATCTAGGCACGATAAATAATATGAGCTATCTTCGCGTAGCTTCAACTACTGAAATCGAGCAGGTGGCGGCCAAATCCCATCTCTTTCCTCTCTATATCTCGCATTGGCGGCCGCATGCAACCTGGTCAGCTCCGAGGTATGACGATAGGGCTTCCGTCTCGCCTCGCCCTGAAGATCGCGCTGAACCAACCGCGCAAACAATGTCGGGGCGATATGCTTGATGTCGACTTTTAGGGGTTGCAAAGCCTCAGGCTGAGCTCCAGTCGCAGCTCCGGTCCCGGTTCCAATCTCAGTTCCTGGCTCTAGCTCTCGCTCTGTCTTTGATTCGGAATTGGGTGCAGGCTCAGCTAACCAGAGATACGGCCGTGTTGTTTCACGCGAGCGGAACGCCTCGTCATCCACGTAGAGAAACACATCGCGTCGAAAGCCAGCAAGAATCTCGTTGTTTGAGAGCATTGTACTGAACTTGCTCCGTAGTGCACTCGGGTCCATGCTGTTATTACTACCAGCCACAGCCACCCAATTCAATGTGAACCGGTCTCTCGTTTCGTCCTTAATCAGTCTCGGTGAATAGTGTAGTCCGTGGTAAACAGCCGTTCCAACCAGGGATTTATACTCTGATAGTCGGCCTCCTTCGTCTTCTTTCGGGTAGATTACCACGAGGCCAAAGCGACGACCTTCTTCCCCAGGGCCAGAATCAGAACCAGGAGCATAATCACGCGCTGGAGCTGAGCTGGATTGCAGTACGTGCTCCTGCCAAGGAACCTTCATCGCAAACCGAATATTCCTAATGTCATCATCGTTCAGCGCCTTGGCCGCCGCTAGTTCCACTTCTAGCCATCGCTGCTCAACCCTCTGCGCCGCCTCCCTAGCAGTCCGAATATCGTCCGTCGTCGCCGCTTCCATAGCTCGAGCCTTGAGGTCCCGATCTTCAGAAGAAAGGCGCGCCACCTCGAACAGGATATGGCCCGATTGTCCCTGGACTACACCGGCCGTTAAGAGACTGGCTTCTTTATAGCTCAGGCCGGGGCTGCTAAGGGGGAAGCCATCATTGCCACTGCTATGGTTGTTGCTGCTATTGATGGCTTTGGTAACGAGCTCGCCCATGGACAAGCCGCAGGCATTTCGACAGAGGGTGTCTTCCTCGTCTGGTGGGGGGCGGTGGGTGATGAGTCGACGTTCTTGATCCGTTAGTGAGGAGGGGTTGGATATGGCACGGTTGTAGAGGGTGCGTGTCGACTCATCCAGGACTAAAGGGGTTCTATCTACGCTTATGCTGAAAGGGTTGGTACCTCCAGCATCGATGGAAAACGACATGTTGACAATTGTGTGATTATTCAGAAGGAAGAGGATGATTGTGTGCGGGAACTTCTTGGGGGTAGCAGAGTTAGACTGCTGTGGTTTTAAGTAGGAGTTGATAAATACTAAGACAGCATTGTGTTCTAAGTTATAATGATACTATCTTGAACGATATACTAGAGAATAACTAAGCATGACCAGGCTAATTATTTTGAGTTATATAAATAATACTCTGTCTAGTCTTCCTCACTTAGATTAGACCCCATTGTAACAACGTTTATGAGACTTTATGTTTACCTAAATAAGTAAGATAGAATGGCATCCTATGGTGTGGCTGGTTGGGATGACTCATGCCAGTTTCAGCCAAATCTGGAAACTCTTTCCACCCTCATGAACTTCCTTTTATTGTCTCATTCCTGTCGCCAGCTAAATATGAAGATAACATTACGTATTACCGGGTTCTACTGGGTCCTTTGAATGTGTCTATCGAACCAAAGCAAGCTAGCACTCTGCAGATTGCGCGAGGGCACTAAGAAATGGTGTATGACCTGTGCTTCAGCCTGGAGTAGTACTCCACTCACTGTCTCAGTACATAATCTTGCTTGCTGTCCTTTCCACAGCAGCAAATTTGGTTGGATTTGAGCAACAATACGGATCACAGTGACTCTAAATCAGCTTTATTCTTACCTGAATATGTATTTTTTGTAGAAGGACATTCCAACACACTTCCAGGTAGATAACTAGTAGATAATAGGAAGGTATAGTCATGACAATCTGGGGAAGAGTGAAGCCACCAATAGCGGAGGGCGATAAAAGGGACTGACTAAACACTAGTCAAAAGAGGACTCTCCACCGCCTCCGCTCCTTCGGCGGCTTTTTGGATTGCGCTGTTCATTCCCTTCCCTTTTCCTTCTTCTTATCTCCGGATGTCTTTCCCTTCTCCAACCCCTCTTTTTTAATTTCTCCTTTAATTCTTCCTGTCCAACTGACTTCTTCGCTGAATTATTCTCCATTCTTTACCCGACTTCCGAGCACATCTCCCGCTGCACCGCTGGTTCGAGTGGCTTCAACCGACTATGGTTGGTTGATCACCCGTAATCTTTTGTCGTGTGGCCACCTTCAATCCTTATCTACCGCCTCCAAAGATACTACCTTCTAACACCACTCTACTCTTCCTTCAACTTACCTCCTCACAATGATGGACGACGAAGCTTCCGTCGGGATTGGCTCCCCTCGAGCCGGTTCTCGAAGGTAACCTATACTATCTCCAATCCGGAGTACATCCCCAACTCTCAAGCCTTATCGCTGACAGGTACCCATCGGTCGCAGACACGGCGGTAAAGGGAAACGAAGCATCGGACATCATGGCGACGCCAGTTGGGTCAGCTGTGTGATCAACTTGGTCAACACAAGTGAGTCAAGCCGGAATACAAACAGTTACGCTCTGCGATCATTTGCTGACTCGCTCTCTGTTCTGGTCTGTTAGTTATCGGTGCCGGTGTTATGGCCATGCCGCTGGCCATCTCTCATATGGGAATCGTTCTCGGTGTCTTTGTGATTCTGTGGTCGGGAATAACCGCAGGTTTCGGTCTATATCTCCAGTCGCTATGTGCTCGGTACCTCGAACGAGGCACTGCATCTTTCTTTGCCTTATCTCAGATCACCTATCCTAATGTGGCCGTCGTCTTCGATGCCGCCATTGCGGTCAAATGTTTCGGTGTCGGTATCAGCTACCTCATCATCATTGGCGATCTGATGCCGGGAGTGGTTCAGGGATTTGTTGGAGGTGCTCCGGACTATGACTTTTTGGTGGACCGGCATTTCTGGGTAACAGCCTTCATGTACGCTGACTACTACATTGAGTGCGTCGGACAGTGCTAACTGGTTTCAGGCTGATTGTTATCCCTCTCTCATACCTCCGCCGCTTGGATTCGCTCAAGTATACAAGTATTGCAGCTCTGGTCTCCATGGCCTATTTGGTGGTTTTGGTCGTATACCACTTCGTGAAAGGTGACACCATGGAGGACCGTGGTCCGGTTCGGGTGATTCACTGGGCAGGCCCTGTTCCTACCCTCAGCAGTCTGCCTGTGATTGTGTTTGCGTTTACATGCCATCAGAACGTATGCTCCGAGACCCACAATCCAGATCTTCACTTCCATGGTTCATTGCTCTGACGTGCACCCCAGATGTTCTCAATTTTGAACGAGATCGGCAACAACAGCCATTTCCGAACCACCGGTGTTGTCTTGGCCAGTATCGGCAGTTCTGCTGCCACTTACATTCTTGTGGCTATTACTGGGTACCTCTCCTTCGGAAACAGTGTCGGCGGAAATATCGTGAGCATGTACCCACCGGGTCTTTGGGCCACGATTGGCCGCGCTGCTATCGTTATGCTTGTCATGTTCTCGTATCCTCTTCAGTGCCACCCATGCCGGGCCTCCGTTGACGCAGTGCTGCGTTGGAGGCCCAAGTCCTCGTCCAATAGCGACACCTCCCCTCATCGGAACCCTCTCTTGGGGCAGAGGGGTGGTCGAACCGCGGAGCCGATGAGTGACCTTCGATTCTCAATCATTACAACCACCATTCTTGTCCTGAGCTACATTGTGGCCATGACTGTATCTTCCCTGGAGGCTGTTCTTGCCTACGTCGGCAGCACAGGAAGCACCAGCATCAGTTTCATCCTCCCCGGATTATTCTACTACAAGATCTCCTCCCCCGATTCGCCCCACCACCAGCGTTTAATGAAAGAAGATGACGAGGCCGCCGAGGGCATGCTATCCGACGATAGCAACGATGAAGACGGAGAAGAGAGCGTGCAGGCACGCCCCCTAACCGACAGCGGCATCCTCCGCCGAGGAAAACGCCACTGGCGCCGATCTCTACTACGAAAATTAAGTTTGGCCCTCGTAGTATACGGGGTGGTGGTTATGGTCGTATGCCTGATCACAAACTCTGTTTTCATTGCTTCTCACTAGACGGGTTTTGGTTTTGGATGCGGGGAAGACAAAAAGATCTGGATGCGATCCATTTCCCTCCACTAGCTTTTTGGCCCTCGTGTGTGGTGACCTTTTCCGCTTTTCTTTCTAAATTTAGACACTCCCTACCAACTCTTTTTTCTTAGGTTTCATTTCTTCGTTTCTTGCATCTATTGGTCTCTTTCTTTTTTTCGGGTTCGCGATCTAGATCTGGGCTCTCTTCCGTCCAACGGTTACAATGTTGGGGTTTATGCACGCTATACCATTGCACCGGCGTTGGGGTTTCGTGTTTGGTCCGGTTTAGATAACGTCTTAAACCTTGGAATACACTTTTCAATATAATGGTGTCATTTTTCTCATCACATTTCTTTTTACATTGATCCGATCTATTCAACGTTGTCTTGGTTCCTTGCTTACTATTTCCCCATACATCTAGATCACAAGAAGAGATAAAGAACATGTTGAGTCATTCTACTTTTGAATACTGCTATAAGTAGGAAAGACTTATTGCAGAAAGTATTGTCACTAGTATTGAATGGATGTTAATCAACAGGCTTGTCTCAACGAGTGATGAGAAGTGAACAAAGAACAACGCAACTAAAGCTAAGCCGATGAAGAGTACAAGATCATCATTAAGCAATACAAGCAAGTCAGGCGAGG